GGCGGAATCAGTGGCTGAATCAGGACGCCTGGGGCAGAGCAGGTGGGGTGCTGCTGGGTTGGTCCAGTAGCGCCGAGGAGCGGCCGCGCTACTGGACCAACCCAGCAGCACCCGAGAGTTGCTCTGCCCCAGGCTTCCTGGAATCAGCTGCTGATCAGTTTCAGCAGCAGCTGACTTGGGGACGCCTGGGGTTCTTAAGTTGAATCTGTATGTAAGTCAGAACTGGTGTCCAGATTCAGCGGCTGAATCTGGATGCCAGTTCTGACTTACATACAGATTCAACTTAAGAACAAACCTACAGTCCCTATCTTGTACGTAACCCGGGGACTGCCTGTAATTGCAACGTGGTTGTTCTTTTCCTAGATTCAGCAGCACTGTGTGCCTTCAGTTCATGGTACTATGTGGCATTTCAGAAGACAAAGAGGATTTTTTTATTCGACTAAAAGTTAGCACACACAATACTGATGGTACTGTGATAGCAGGGCTGTCCCTAGAGATTCTGGTGCCCCACATAGCCCCCACAGGGGGAGGTCTGGCCTCTCCATGGGGGAGGCTGCACTCTTGGCTGAGGAGGAAGCAGCAACTCCAGACCACTCGCAGAGGCTCCAGACCATTTTTCTCTCCTGGCTCTGATTGTTGTCACTCGGGGAGGTGGCTTGGAGGAAATGGGGGAACCACCCCTGCACTCACTGGCAGTAGGAAGTGGAGTGATACGGCTGGGAACCAGCAGAGTGGACTGGGTTGGGGCCAAGTCTCTCTGCTTTCTGCCATCGGCTGTGAGTGCAGGGCCAGGCCTGACTAATTTCCTGGGCCATATCTCTTAGGGGAGGGTGGAGTACGGGCATGGTAGGGGCAGAATGAGGGGTTTGTCCTGGTCCCTGCAACCTCCTAGCAATGGTCCTGCTGGGCACAGCCCATGGGGGATTTATGAGGGATGGGGATGGCTGCTGGAGCTGGCACGATCCCATACACATCATGCAGCTGCCTGGGGAACCACAACATTTGGGGCAATTTGGTAGTGCCTCATGCAGCTGTGTATTTTGCATATTGGTAGGGACAGCCTTGGCAGAAAAGATGAAGAAATTTAAGCTTGTGTAGCACAAGGATCAAAGGAGGTGGAGAAAATCACAATCAGGCTGCACATATTCTGCAAAGGAAAAATGGGGTTCATTTGTCAAATTGTTTGCATGGCTGTAAGTTTTCTAGACTTTCTGCGGGACATTGCTAATTGCCTGAAGGAGTTAACTCATAGTTCTTAGCATTCCCTCCCTTGACACCTGCAGTCATTTTTATGCCAATTCATCCAGCTTCCCAAACAATGAGAGAGATCTATTTCTCTGCTTTCCTTCTGTTGCGTTAAAAATGTGATTCTGACTAAATGAAATCCCTTCAGCAAAGAGTAAGTGATAGATGAAATGAAGACATCCTACTCCAAACCACAAGCAGAATGCAGATCCCACTTAATGATCTAATATGTTATTATCCATGTGCTAATAGACACACACATTAGACAATCTGACATAGTAAAAAGAAACCTTTTCAGAGACAGTGTCTAAAGCTACACCACTGAAGCACGTCAGCAAAACTTCTTACTATAGCAATAAAAGGGGTTCCCCTGTCACTGTAAGTAATATAGCATCCTGAGAGAAGGTAGCTAGGTTGACAGAAAGATTCATCTGTTGACCTAGTGCTCTGTCCACCTGAGACTAGGTTGGCTTACCTACATTTCTCAGGGGTGTGGATTGGTCACGTGCCTGTGGGACATAATTCTGCCAATGTAACTTTTCAGTATAGACCCAGGACACCTCTCCCTCCATGTCTGACCCATTTTCTTTCCCCTCCACTAGAAACGTTCCATCTTCAGTCTTCCAAAGTATTCCACTCTCCCCCTCTTCTACTTTTCCTCGCTCAATTTCAGAAGACCTCTAACCTTTCCCTCTCATTCACTTTCCCTCCTCCATGCCAGAAACCCAACCACCTCTCCATCTTTTCCATCTCTCTTCCTCCATTTCACAAGCCCTCCACCTCTATCTCACCAAATTTGCAATATTTTCCAGTGTTGTCTTAGTTCTCTTACATCTTACTCTTCTTGGACTCCTCTCTCTGCTCACCTGCTGCCATGGTGAAAGCTCATCCTTGCAGTTATCTTATAAGATACTTCGCATGCAATCGTCTTCTTGACATATGTGCAATATGTCTCAGGTGGCATGTGACCAGGATTCATTGCTGACTTTGGTTCACTGGTTGGATCATTGGGTTGGGTTCTGATAGGGAGACTGACATGAATGCTGATCCATGCCCCCCTGTACTCTCATGAATCCAATTGAATTCTGAGCCATTGCAGTAAGTGTAACCTTCCATGCAGGAGAACCTTCCATTGAAAAATTTGCTCCCCCGCTTCAGGTCCTTCAAAGTGATATGTAAACAAATGAACAAACATTTCCATTTGCAATGGACTTGAACTTGATGTTGGACAGTTAGAAACAAAATTAAAACAACTTCCAGTAGTGCTGGGAAATCAGAGAAATCCTGTGCCAGAGAAAATAATTTCTAAGAAAAGTGAAAATGTTAATTTAATTTCATATAAATCTCCTCTAGTACAGGGTTGAGTAATGCAATAAACTGATTATCCCTCAAAAATGTGCTCTGTATATAGGACAGAGAGAATACATCAGCACCTCCTTTTTCTTCCTGAGTCTGTTAGCTTTCCTGTCTGCTTCCATCTGTGCAAAGACATCTGCTGATGAAAATAGCTAGGGAAAGCAATCCTTGGCATGATAAAATATAGACCGTGTGGTATTAATTAAGCCAGACTGGTATAGAACCAGTCAAAACCATGTAAACTTAAAGTAATGAAATATTTGTTCTTCACAGGGCACTTTTCATTCCATAGTGTCATTTACATGCCCAATGTAGTAAGTATTAACAGTGGCTAATGCACCCACCATTGAAACAATGGTCACATACTGAAAAGGAACCAGACACACACCCCAGGAGAATGAGGTCAGGAAGAATGTCATCTGATCCTGCTGTGGAATTTGCTTAAGACATTGGAGTTAATACTTCATCTGGAAATCTGCCAACTGATCAGGTTTAGAGCTCGACAAAATATTTTAATAAACAATGTAGTCAAGAAATAAATCCTTCTCCTGTTTGTGAAACATCCATCCACAAATTGTTTCTCCTTCTTTTGTTAAAGTTATTTCACAAATGTTTTCTGCCAACGTATTCCAGTTTATCAATTACTTGCAAACTACCCATCATGCATATTGCTAACAGCATTCACTCTTTGAAATTCTTGATCTGTAGTTGGTCATGGTTTTGTTTATACTCTTTAACTGAATGATTTTCAAATATGAAAATGATATCCAAAGATTTTTCAAGATGGTCACATTGCTAGAGTTATAGCACTTTCTTCTTCAATGAACATTTAAGTTGCCAGTAGAAATGATACTGAAAAGTCAGCAAAGAGGAACTCAAATCACATTTGCAGGATTATCCAAATAAAATGTTCATTAATACAGTTTGCAATTTTTACCCAGCTCTAACTGAGACTATGGTTTTATTTATCATATGCAAACCAGAAATTTCAGCACCACAGTGACATTTAGAAGCATGCTGGGAGATCAATTCAGTACTAAGCTGAGAGAGCTGACATGATAGAACAATGTAGTATGGCAGAAAGAATAACAGTTAAATAAGTGAAAATAAACTGGAATCTCTCGCTACCAAAAAAAGAGAGAGCCTAGAAAACATGAGCTAAAAGGAAAGTTTGGAAAAATCGGGTTTGTTGAGTTTGGAGAAGAGAAGACTGAGTGGGGACATGATAGCAGCTTTCAAGTACCTAAAAGGGTGTTACAAAGAGAAAATGAAAAATTGTTCTTAATTCTGAATATAGGACTAGGAACAATGGGCTTAAATTGTAGCAAGGGAGAGTTAGGTTGGGCATTAGGAAAAACTTTATTACTGTTAGGATAGTTAAGCACTGGAATAAATCGCCTACGGAGTTTGTAGAATCTCTGTAACTGGAAGTTTTTAAGAACACTCTAGTCTAGTTATTCCTTATTCCTGCCTTGAGTGATGAGGTCTGACTACATGACCTACTGAGATCCCTTACATAAGAATGGCCATACTGGGTCAGACCAAAGGTCCATCTAGCCCAGTATCCTGTCTGCTGACATTGACCAATGCCAGATGCCCCAGAGGGAGGGATCACAATAGGTAATTCTCGCGTAATCCCTCCCCTGGCATCCACCTCCAGAGAAACAGAGGCTAGGGATACCATTCCTACCCATACTGGCTAATAGCCATTGATGAACCTAACCTCCATGAATCTAGCTCTTTTTTGAACCCTGTTAAAGTTCTAACCTTCACCACATCATCTGGCAAGGAGTTCAACAGGTTGACTGTGTGCTAAGTAAAGAAAAATTTCCTTTTGTTTGTTTTAAACCTGCTGCCTATTAATTTCATTTGGTAACCCCTAGTTCTTTTATTGTGGGAATAAGCAAATAACTTTTCCTTATTCACTTTTTCCATACCAGTGATGATTTTACACACCTCTATCATATCCCCCCGCCTTAGTCTCCTCTTTTCTAAGATGAAAAGTCCAAGTCCTTTTTATCTCTCTTCATATGGCACCCCTAATCATTTTTGTTGGGACCCCAATCATTTTTGTTGCCCTCTTCTGAACCTTTTCCAATGCCAATATATCGTTTTTGAAATGAGGTGACCACATCTGTACACAGTATTCAAGATGTAAGCATACCATGATTTTATATAGAGGTGATAAGACATTTTCTGTCTTATTCACTATCCCTTTTTTAATGACTCCTAACATTCTATTTGTGGATGTTTTCAGAGAACTATCCACAATGACTCCAAGATCTTTCTGTTGAGTTGTTGTAGCCAAATTAGTCCCCATCATATTGTATACATAGTTGGGATTATTTTTCCCAATGTGCATTACTTTACATTTATCAACATTTTGTTGTCCAACCACTTAGTTTGGTGAGATCTTTTTGAAGCTCTTCACAGTCTCATTTGGTCTTAACTATCTTGAGCAGTTTGGTATCATCTGCAGATTTTCCCACCTCACTGTTTACCCCTTTCTCTAGATCATTTATAAATAAGTTGAATAGGATGGGTCCCAGGACAGACCCTTGGGGGACCCCACTAGTTATCTCTCTCCATTTTCGGAAAACTTATTTATTCCTACCGTTATTCTCCGCTATGATTTTATCATCTTTGAGTGCTCCTTTAGCATCTCAATTATCTAAGGGCCCAACAGGTTGTTTAGCCGACTTCCTGCTTCTGATGTAGTTAAAAAACATTTTACTATTACTTTTTGAGTTTTGGCTAGCTGTTCTTCAAACTCCTTTTTGGCTTTTCTTATATTTTCACACTTAATTTGACAAAGTTTATGCTCCTTTCTATTTTCCTCACTAGGATTTGACTTCCACTTTTTAAAAAATATCTTTATATCTGTGTCTGCTTCTTTTACATGGTTGTTAAGCCACGGTGGCACTTTTTTGGTTCTCTTACTGTGTTTTTTTAATTTGGTGTATACATTTAAGTTGGGCCTCTATTATGGTGTCTTTGAAAAGTTTCCATGCAGCTTGCAGAGATTTTACTTTTGTCACTGTACCTTTTAATTTCTGTTTAACTAACTTCCTCATTTTTGTGTAGTTCCCCTTTCTGAATTAAATGCTGTCTTACATTTGTTATGATTAGCCCAATAGCCTAACCTGCCCATCATGTTGAGTAAATGTTATAATTGTTTCTCCTTCTCTTACTTTAAGGATCATCATTGTTTAAAGATTTCAGGTACTACAAACTAATTTGTTCAATCTCACATTGACTTCAATAGGGCCAGAAGTTCATCCAAAGATACTTCATTTGCATAAATTAGGGCAGCTACTACATGTCTGCCACATATTATTTAGATATTTGCAATGGAACAATTAATAGAACAATTTAGAGGAGCAGAGAGGGTATTGTACCTCTAAGTTTGGTGACCACTGCTGGCATGCAGTTTCCAGATCTGGATTCCGCAAGTCAAGAAGGATACTGGGAAATTAGGTTTCAGAGAAGAGAGAGAAGAATGGTTAAAGGGTTAGAAAACATTCCTTTGAGTGATGGACTGAAAAAAATCAGTCTGTTTAGCTTGAGAAAGGGGAGGTTATGGAGTGACTTGATTATAGCTATTTAGATGGGGAACAAATATTTAATAATGGGCTCTTCAACCTAGCAGAGAAAGGTGTAACAGGATCCACTGGCTGGAAGATGAATCTGGACATGTTCAGACTGGAAATAAGGCCTAAGACCTTCCATCCACCAGAAGCCTTGCTGATCAACTCCTCCTCTTCCCAGCCAGCTTCTTTTGCATACCACGATCACCTGTTTCATGGCATGCAGAGGAGGCACTGGGAAGAAAAGGGAGAAGCAGGAACAAGCCACACTTGGGAGAGGAAGTGGAATTGGATGGGAAGAGGCACAGTGGACATGGAGTGGGGCAAGAGAGATGGGGTGAAGTTGGGGACTTGGCCAAAGAGGTGGATTGAGCCTGGGGCAAAGTGTGGGCAGGCATGATGAGGCGGGCAAGGCATGGGGATTTGAAGTGAGGAATAGGTGGGGGTGGGGCCAGGGACAGAGCAGAGGGTTGAGCACTCCCCAGGGCTTAAAGGGAGCTGGCACATGTGTAGCCTGTATTATATAAGAAATCACAATGTCTGGTATTACATTTTAGGATTTGACATTCAATCAGCTCAAATATCTGAAAGTGCATCAAAACCATAAGCTTTGACAGTGCAAGCAAATTCATTTCTGGTGTAGACAGTTTTTATACTACATGAGCAATGAAGAGCCACAGTTTTAAAGGTTGCAACTTCTAAAATCCATGAAGACGTTATCCTAGGTTGCACTTGTCCCTAGCTCACATGTTTAGACATTACTTTACTTTACTAGCTACTTTACACATGTTTTAACTGAGCAAGGAAATATTCAGTAAATATAGTAGCTAAAATCCCAAGTGAACACAGATGGCAGGTCCACAGTCTTAATTAACATTATGAGACCACCATCTGTGTGCACTTGGGCTTGATGTCTTTTCTGCACTATTGAAACGACAGTAATTTAAATAAACAAAAAGCATCAGGTTTAAGTATTTCTCAGACATTAGCTACTTAATCATGAACAGGTATAAAGAACTTAGAAGGCCAGAAATGGTGCATGATTAATAAAATGGACATGAAATGTCACTCACATTCTTTACGGGCAAACCTAGGGATAAATAAAACAAATGCGAGGTCTGAAATATCTGGGGTGCCACCAGTACATGGCTGAGAATGGGGGGGCATGCACTCCCATTTCTATGGCTCAGTAAAAGGGTGAGCTATTGCATTGTGGATAGTTTGAAATACAGCTTTGGGAAGATGTTAGAAAAGGAAATGACAATAGGAAAGAAAGGCATGAACTGTAGTTAGAGACAGTTGTGTATTAACGCAAATAATTCAAAGGCAAATAATGAAAACAAGCAGGTTTACAAACCTGAGAGGTGTGGAAAAGCAAATATGAAAGGAATCAATGAGTGAGGTAGAAGCATCAGAATTTAAACTGAAGAGTAAGTTCAGATTGTAATGTATTCTGTTGAAGGCATTTATTTCATGGGCAGGAGTTGAGTAGCCTGAGAAGTGCTGAAAAGATGCAAAGAGGAAGGGAAGTAGCAATGTGAGTATTATCCACACAGTAAGCTACCTAAGGTTGAATTAACAGAAGATGGCCAAGAAGAGATAAATAAAGAGTAAGGCTGATCTCCTGAGGAACATTATAAAGCAGCATATTAATGGTAGAGGAGTGTCTATTGTCAGGTACAAAAAAAGGAAAAATAATATAAAAGGAAAAGAATTAATATATGCTGAATGAAAATCCAAGTAGGAGAGAAGGAGATCATCGTACATATTTTTAAATAGACCTGATTGATTAATACTAATTAAATTCCTTATACAACAAATATAGCTTTACACAGAAATTATTCTGGGTAAAATACATCTGGGCTTTGGAGAATGAATATCTTGAGTACTGTATACCCATAGGGTAAATCACAGTGGAAGACGTATAAGCCTACACACTTCAGAGCATGTATATGCCCTCACACTTCAGAGCACAACAGGCATAGGCTAGCCGGAGACAGATGGGCTAGGTGGGCCATTGGTGTAATCTAGTATGGCTTAAATTGGGACAATTCCTCAATTTATTTGCATTTCTATCTTTTATTTTATGTAATGGCAGCTATTTTAATAATAAGTAGTAGAAAGAATGAGTG